ACTAAGCCCCATTTGCCTGTCATCCATTTCTCAGTGTCCTATGTTAACTCATTTCTTTGCAATTCCTCTATTTACAACTCTCATCATTGCTTTCAAATCCCCCATGGTCCCTGCCTCATCCCAATTCTGTAACCTCATCCCATTCTACAACTCCGTCTCACAATACTTGGTCACCACATTACAGGAAGGATGTAACTGCTCTGGAGAGAGTGCAGACAGGATTTACCAGAATGTTGCCAGGGCTGGAGAATTGTGGCTATGAGGAGAGATTGGAGAGGTTGGTGTTGTATTCCTTGGAACAGAGAAGGCTGAGGGCTGACATGATTGAAGTAGACAAAATTGGGAGGGGTGTGGATGGACTAGTTACCCATTGGGGTGAGGGATCTGTTTTCCCTTGGCATAGAGTTCAAAAACCAGGGGTCATAGATTCAAGCAGAGTGGCAGGAGGATTGAGGGGATGTGAGGAAGAACATTTTTACATAGAGGATGGTCGGTGTCTGCAATTTGCTGCCTGAGTTGGTGTTGGAGGCAGAGACCCTTAAACACTTTTAAAAAGTACTTGCACCTTACATGCTGTAAGCTGCAGGGCTATGGGCTGTGTGCTGGAAGCCTGGATTGTAAAGGGCATCTGGGTGTCTTTGGTCAGCATGGACAAGATGGGCTGAATGGCCCCCTTCTATTTTGTATGATTTCTATGGTTCTTTGCCTGTAGCCCTTGAATTCCAGCCCCTTGAATATGCCTGATTTTAACCATAATTTCTCACCATGCTGAATATCTATCAGCTGACTGGGACCTAGGCTCTAAAATCCCCTCCATCAGCCTCATAACATCTTTACCTTTGGCTTTCTCTTTCTTCCTCCCTTTGCTTTGTAAAGGAAAGGCGATGATATAGTGGCAATAACACTGGACTACGAATGTAGTGGTGAATTCAAACATCACCATGGCAGCTGGTGGAGTTTAAATGCCTTTTTCTAAAGTTAGTGTCAGTGCTGGTGACCATGAATCAATTGTCATAAAACACCATCTGGTTCACTAACGGCCTTTAGGGAAAGAAATCTTCCTTCCTTATCTGGTCTGATCTGCACCTGACTCCAAATCCACTGCAATGCAATTAATTTTAGCTGCCTTCTGGAATAGCTGAACAAGCCCCTCAGTTAAAACCTTATTATTTGACTAAGTATGTCCTAATATTTCCTTAAGTACCTTGGTATTATGTATTTTTTTTGGTCACAATGTTTTTTTGAAGACTCCTGGATGCTATATAAATGCAAGTTCTTTTTATTATGGAGTTCAGAGCTGGGATCCCATTCCATCTGGCTTCACAGGAGTAATTTTATTTTTAACTTCTCCTCTTTGCCATAAGACCATTCCTCCTCATCTCTGTCTTAAATTTGTGACCTCTTACTCTGAGACTATGCCCTCTGATCAGCGATTCTCCCACATGGAGAAACAACTTCTCCACATCCACCCTGTTGAGCTACCTAAGAATCTTATATGTTTCAATAAGGTCATCTTTCATTCTTCTAGACACCAATGAGTACAAGCCAAAATGTTATAAAGTCATAGAGTCATACATTATGGAAACAAGCACTTCGGCCCAACTCATCCATGCCGACTAGATTTCAAAAACTGAACTAGTCCATTTGCCTGCATTTGGCCCATATCCCTCTAACTCTTTCCTATTCATGTACCTGTCCAAATGTCTTTTAAATGTTGTAATTATACTCGCCTCTACCACTTCCTCTGGCAACTTGTTCCATACCCGAACCCGTCTGTGTGTGAAAAAGTTACCCTTCAGGTCCCTTTTAAATCTTTCTCCTTTCACCTCAAACCTATGCCCTCTTGTTTTGGACTCCCCTACTCAGGGGAAAAGACCTTGGCTATTTACCTTATCCATGTCCCTCATGATTTTATAAATTGTTATAAGATCACCACCTCAGCCTCCAACACTCCAGGGGAAAAAAGTCCCAGCCTCTCCTTATCACTCAGACCCCACCAAGTTTCGGTAACATCGTTGTAAGTCTCTTTTGCATCCTTTCCAGTTTAATAACATCCTTTCTATAGCACGGTGACCACAACTGCATGCAGTACACCAAATATGGCCTTACCAATGTCTTGTACAGCTTTAACATGACATCTCAACCCCGGTACTCAATGTTCTGACCAATGAAGTCAAGTGTGTCAAACGCCTTCTTCACCACCCTGTCTACGTGTGATGCCACTTTCAAGGAACTATGTATCAACACCCCTAGCTCTCTCTGTTCGACAATGCTGTCCAGGTTCCTACCATTAACTGTGTAAGTGCTGCCCTGGTTTGTCTTACCAAAATGCAGCACCTTGCATTTATCTGAATTAAGCTCCATCTGCTATTCCTCAACCCACTGGCCCAGTTGATCAAGATCCTGTTGTACCCTTAGATAACCATTTTCACAGTCCACTATACCATCAATGTTGGTGTCATCCGCAAACTTACAAACCATGCCTCCTGTATTCTCATCCAAATTGCTTATATAAATGACAAACAATAGTGGACCCAGCACTGATCCTTGCAGCATACCACTGGTCACAGACCTCCAGTCTGAACAACAATCCTCTGCCTACCACATTCTGTCTCCTACCATCAAGCCAATTTTGTATCCAATTGGCTAGCATTCCCTGGATCCCATGTGATTAAACCTTACTAACCAGTCTACCATGCATATATTGTAAATAATTATGGACCCAGCACTGATCCCTGTGGCACTTCATTAGTTATAGCTTGCTATCATGAAAAAGCACCCCCCCCATCCTATCTCTCTATTTTCTATTAGTTAGCCAATCTTCTATCCATGCTCTTATTATTTAGCCTAATGCGTGATATTTTATCAAACGTTTTTTAGGAATCCAAATATATTACATTGTTCCATGTTTCAATTTCTGAGATATTTTATTTATTTTTCCATGGGCTGTGGACATCATTGACAAGATCAGCATTTGTTGCTCATCCCTAATTGCCCTTGACGTGGGTAGCTTGCTTGGTGGTGGCTGGAATCATTAGCTCATGTGGCTGGTTTGTAACAGAGTAACACTAACAGCACACCCTCCATTCGCACACAAACAAGGGTTACACTGAAAGTCCTGCCTTCTCAACCTCTCCATCAGGCATGGTGACCCTTCAGTTAAATTCACTGCCAGCCTCTTCTCTCCCTCTCTCTAAGAAGAGAGTGAGACTATGGTGATTTTAGATTGCTGTGGGTCTGGAGCCTCAACAGGTAAGGAATGGCAGATGTTCCTTAAACCAGGACAGGATTTTAAAACAACTGAAGATAGTTTTGCAGTCACTGTTCAATCTAGCTTTCGATTTCTGACGTAATCAATTACCTTATTTTTAAAACTAAATAAACATCCCAAATAGTGGCTATGCTGGGATTTGAACTATGTATCCCCAGCTCCTACATTACTATCTTAGTGACATTAATTCTAAACCCGGTATCCACACCAATGGAGTCCACCTTTCTCAGTAGTTCCTGTTAAATCAGATCAGGGTTTCTTTATGCACATTGTAGAAGAAAAATACTGCGGATGCCTGAATCGGTACTGAAAACAAAATGCTGGAAATTACAGCGGGTGCTCATAGTGCTCTGATGAAGAGTCATCTAAACTCGAAACGCTTTCTCTCCGCGCTGCTGCCTGACACGTTGTGATTTCCAGCACTTTTTGGTTTCTTTGTACATTGTTGGCCCCTGCTTTGCATGGGCTGGAGAAAGAGAGACTTCAATTTTTTTTAGTTGGTAAGCAGCAGCCACGAGATAAGTGACTGGATCATTTGTTATATCAAAGTTTCTTCCTACGGCTGTCAGCTCCTGTGACAGCACAGCACTCCATCAAATGCACGCCTGAGAGTTTCAGACTAGAATACGTGCGCTCTTGAGTTTGTGGAATTTCCAATTTGACTGATGGATGGGAAAATGCAATTACTGAGTGTCTGCTGACAGCCACAATCAGACACACGCACAGACCTGCAGACAGTAACTGATGGGTTGTCTCATTATCCATCCCAGCTCACTCCCTGGCCCTTAATTAAATAAATACATCAGAAAATTGTCGACTGAGCAAACACCCATGAGTTGTCGAGTCTATTCTTGTTATGACAAAGTGAACAGTCCAAATCATTCAATCATTATTCGAGAGACAATACTGTTTCTAAAACAAAACTCACCAACCGGCAAAAGGAAAAAATTGCAAAATAAACACGGAAATTGCTGGAGAAACTCAGCATGCCTGGCAGCATCTGTGAAGGGAGAGAAACAGAGTTAACATTTCAGGGCAGTGGTAGTTGCGATGGAAGTTGAAATGTTAATTCCGCTTGTCTGTCCACGGGAGGAGAGCTTCTGAGCGTTTCTTGCATTTTCTGGTTGTACATTCAGGACGTTCTGCTTTTGACACACGCACAGAGAGAGAGAGACAGAGAGAATGGGGCCAAGTCATAGCATTATCACATTCATAACCTGCATCGGCCCGGTTTCTCTGAAGCAGCGACAGCACCGACAGCGCTGTGGTTCCAGGGTTGGCCGGGGCACAGCAAGACTCCAGGAGGCTCCAACAAGGGAATCCAAGTCAGACAGGCAGCTAAAGCAGAGCCGAGAATGAGGGGCAGCTCAGTCAGAGCGAAACCTCATCCCTCGGGCAAAGAAAAAGCGCTGTTTGTTTGATTCAGGCTTCAAGGAACTTTGGACTAATAAAAGCTTCAATAATTCCTCTTTTATCGCTCACGCTCGCCTCTCCACTTCCTGCTTACAGCTGCAGTTTTACAGAAAAATTGCTCTACCCTTGCGTTTATGGTGCACGCCGCCGTGCCACATAACCCCAGGCTGGCGTTTGTAAATGCAATCCGCCCCCCCCTCCCGCATTTAATCAACCCCCGAATCTCCAAATTCACCTTCAATGCAGCAACCCCATCACCCCCTCCCCAATAACAAAGCGAGAGCAGAAACCAGCAGCCAAAACAAGAAGAACTTACGTGAGGATCACTTGCATTTCTGTTTTTCTGTGAGTTCAGTCCGTTGTATAAATATTTAAAAAACACATAAAAGCAGGATGAGACCTTTCATCGCCACCGGAGTAACCAAGCAGCTGTTACTTTATGTTTGTTTTCTGTAAGTCACACCACGCCAAACATTAAAAAAAATTGAGAGAGTTTGCTTCATTCTTTGGAAACTGGCTGTTTATAAACAAGTAACATATACACCTCCACTTGCTGTACTGAAACCACGAAGGAAGAAACGAACTGATTGAGACGTTGGCTGGTTTGGCATATCATTATATACTGTGTAGTTACAGGCGTGGGGGTAGAAATTGCGTGTCTCATCACAGACAATTCTGAACAACGGTCACTGGTCTGGAAACATTAGCTCCGCTTTCTCTCTCCACAGATGCTGCCAGACCTGCTGGTTTTCTCTAGCAATTCCTGTTTTTGTTTCAGGTTTCCAGCACCCGCAGTTCTTTGTTTTATGTTGTTACGGAAAAGACCTGCATGGGGCAGGCAAAGTGCGTTCAGCCTCAAGAGGATACTGAGGCACAAAGCACCCTCTCTCTAACCACCCCTCCCCCCACTCCCCTACCCCCATCAATTCTGGGGGGCCAGAGACTGAACTTCAAATAGTTTAGGGCTGTGTTAGTACTAGACCCGGAGTTTTAAACAGGACACTCTTTTATTGTTGTGGTTTGGAAAAACAACTTTTTATTTTTTCATTTTGTGGGATGTGGGCGTTGCTGGCTGGCCAACATTTCTTGCCCATCCCTAGTTGCCCTTGAGAAGATGGTGGTGAGCTGCCTTCTTGAACCGCTGCATTCCTCCTGCTGTGGGCTGACCCACAATACCCTTAGGGAGGGAATTCCAGGCTTTTCACCCAGCAACAGTGAAGGAATGGCGATATATTTCCAGGTCAGGATGGTGAGTGGCTTGGAGGGGAACTTGCAGGGGGTGGTGTTCCCATATATCTGCTGCCCTTGTCCTTCTAGATTGAAGTGGTCCTGGGTTTGGAAAGTGCTGTCTGAGGATCTTTGGTGAATTTCTGCGTGCATCTATAGATAGTACACACTGCTGCTACTGAGTGTTAGTGGTGGAGGGAGTGGATGCTTGTGGATGTAGTGCCAATCAAGCGGGCTGCTTTGTTCTGGATTGTGTCAAGCTTCTTGAGTGTTGTTGGGGCTGCATTCATCCAGACAAGTGGGGAGTATTCCACCACGCTCCTGACTTGTGCCTTGTAGATGGTGGACAGGCTTTGAGGAGTCAGGAGGTGAGTTACTCGCCGCAGTATTCCCAGCTTCTGGCCTGCTCTTGTAGCCACTGTGTTAATGTGGTGAGTCCAGTTGAGTTTCTGGTCGATGATAACCCCCAGGATGTTAATAGTGATGGTAATACCATTGAAAGTCAAGGGGCGGTGGTTAGATTGTCTCTCATTGGTGATGGTCATAGCCTGGCATTTGTGTGGCGTGAATGTCACTTGCCACTTGTCAGCTCAAGCCTGGATATTGTCCAGATTTTGTTGCATGAGAACATGGATTGCTTCAGTCTTCGAGGAGTCACGAATGATGCTGAACATTGTGCAATCATTGGCGAACATCCCCACTTCTGACCTTATGATGGAGGGAAGGTCATTGATGAAGCAGCTGAAGATGGTTGGGCCTAGGACACTACCCTGAGGAACACCTGTAGAGATGACCTGGAGCTGAGATAATTGACTTCCCACAGCCACAACCATCTTCCTTTGTGTCAGGTATGACTCCAACACCAGACCGTTTGCCCCCTGATACCCATTGATTCCAGTTTTGCTAGGGGTCCTTGATGCCACACTTGGTCAAATGCAGCCTTGATGTCAAGCCTGTCACTCTCACCACACCTCTGGAATTCAGCTCTTTTGTCCACGTTTGAACCAAGGCTGTAATGAGGTCAGGAGCTGAGTGGCCCTGGCAGAACCCAAACTGGGCGTCACTGAGCAGGTTATTGCTGAGTAGGTGCTGTTTGATAGCACCGTTGATGACACCTTCCATCACTTTACTGATGATCGAGAGGACACTGATGGGGCGGTAATTGGCCGGGTTGGATTTGTCCTGCTTTTTATGCATAGGACATACTTGGACAATTTTCCACATTGGCCAGCAGATACCAGTGTTGTAACTGTACTGGTACAGCTTGGCTAGGGGAGTGGCAAGTTCTGGAGAACAAGTCTTCAGTACTATTGCTGGAATGTTGTCAGGGCCCGTAGCCTTTGCAGTATCCAGCATCTCCAACCTCTTCTTGATATCACGTGGAGTGAATCGACTTGGCTGGAGACTGGTATCTGTAATGCTGGGGACCACTGGAGGAGGCCGAGATGGATCATCCACTGGGCACTTCTGGCTGAAGATTGCTGCGAATGCTTCAGCCTTATCTTTTGCACTGATGTGCTGCGCTCTTCCATCATTGAGGATGAGGATATTTGTGGAGCCTCCTCCTCCAGTGAGTTGCTTAATTGTCCAACACCATTCATGACTATATGTGGCAGGACTGCAGGGCTTAGATCTGATCCATTGGTTGTGGGATCGCTTAGTTCTGTCTATCACTTCACCATCTACGGCTTTTAAACAAAGAAAGACGTGCGTTGATGTGGTGCCGGTAGGCACTGTCGGGGCTTCTCAAAGCACTTTATCCATGAGGGCCTTCTGATCTCACGGCTTGCGGGGTATTTACTATCCCTTCCCACTTTTCACTCTGTGATACTGAATGCTCCATACTCAGAGTTGAATGAGCAACCAGACTGTTTCGTGTGGCACTGAGGGTGGAATAAATTGGTCCAGAACACCCTAAATAATGTTCTGGGATCTCTATCACATTCACCCAAACAAGCTGACAGAGTGGGGGTGCTATCTGACCTGAAAGGCAGCACCTCTGACAGTGCGGTGCTCCCTCAGCACTGCACCCGGTTCTTCTGCTGAGTCACAGGAGTGGGATATGAAGTATTTTCCCTACAGAACCTTGGTTGACATAGCCTGACTCGGCCAAATTCCATGCATGCCATGAATTGGTTGTCAGGATTTTCACTAGTGTTCCCTGAAACTGTCCAAAATTCCTGATGAAAATGTATCAAGGAGCTGATAAATGAGCCAGGATTCCTCTGATTTAGGAGCTTAAGGGAATGAAAGGATACGGGGTTTGTGCAGGGAAGTAGACTTGCAATAGAAGATCAGCCATGACCTTGTCGAATGGTGAGGCGCTCCTCGTTCATATTTATGACCAACTCGTCCCTCCAGGAATGAACATGAGCCATCATGCCCCAGTTGGACTTCCAACAATTCAGCCTTTCTGTTGGCTGTCAGACCAGTTTTATTGTAATTAGGATTAATTGAGTTAAACTGTGCTTCAAACCCTGGAAACTTCCCTAAAGCTGTTTACTTATTGCTGTACTTATTTACATTCCAGCATATCCTGTATTGTGCAGCTGGTCCCCTGTGGAATTCACTGTTCAATCTGGATTATAGTGACCAAAACAGAAATTGTTGCGAAAACTTAGCAGGTCTGGCAACATCTGTGGAGAGAGAAACCGAATTAACGTTTCAGGTCCAGTGACCCTTCTTCAGTGCTGATGGTAATGGCCTCGGCTATTAAAGATACCGAAGAAAATGGAGAGAGTTTGGCAGAATGATATTGAGGCAGAAAATTGGCCATGATTTAGCAGAATGACCGATCGATTTTGAGGGGCTGAAAGACCTCCTCCTGTTCCTATTTCCTGGCAGCTGTCCCCCAGCAGCAGATCTACAGGTCACAAACTTTCCACGGGGCGAAGGGGAGGAATAGGGTCCTCACCAACGAAAAGGAAAAACTCACACCTACATGTAGTACCTTTCACAGCTTCCCAAAGTGCATTGCAGCCAGTCAGGTGATTGGGTGTGGCCAAGCCATGCACAGCAAGCTCCCAAAGGGTGCCATGCACTAAATGACCACATGGTCATTTAAAAAACATGTCATTACTGAGGATCATTACCTAGATTGACTAGAATAGGGATTGAAAACAACCTTGTGACTCAAGAGGCACAGGCATCAATGAGGCACATGACCTTCCCCAATCGCAAACCAACATACAGACTGATTGCAATCAGTGACGAACAAGCTCAGAGCATCAAACAGTTAATTTCACACTTGGCCCATCATAGCTTCACTAGTACTCACTGAATTTTCCTCCCAGGCCTGTTGCTGTTCCATCTACAGGTTTTTCTTCAACTCCTTTTTGAACGTTTCCATGGAACCTGCTGCCAACCCTCTTTCATGCAGTTTACACACATAAGCAGCAGCTTTATTTAGCACTTTTCAAATCCTTGAGCAGGGAGAACTTGCGTTTATATAGCACCTTTCAAATCCTGGAGACATGCCAGAGCACTTCAAAATGACTCCTGCGAGACCATCCTGCCATTACTTTTTACATTGTAGGAGTGACAGCACTTGACATCAAGGTCACATTTGACCGCGTGTGGTATTGATGAGTCCTAGGAAAACTGGAATCAATGGGTATCGGGACAAACTCTCCTCTTGTTGGAGTCGTACCTGGTGCATAGAAAGATAGTTGTGAATACTGGAGTTCAGTCACCTCAGCTCCAGGAAATCTCTGCAGGAGTCCCTCAGTATAGTGTCCTAGACCCAACATCTTCAGCTGCTTCATCAATGACCTTCCTTCCATCATAAGGTCAGAATTGTGATGTTCACAATGTTCAGCACTGTTTGCGACTCCTCAAGATCCTAAAGCAGTCCACATTCAAATGCAACAAGATCTGGACAAATTCAGGCCTGGATAGAAAAATGTGAAGTAACATTGTACCACTCAAATGCCAGGCAATAACCATCACCAATAACTGATAAACTTGTTAGATTGCCCCTTGACATTCAATGGTGTTATCATCACTGGACCATTCACTATCAAGATCCTAGGAGTTATCATTGACCAGAAACTCAACTGGACTCATCATGTAAACACAGTGGCTACAAAAGCATGTCAGAGGCTGGGAATACTGCAGCGAGTAACTCACCTCCTGACTCCCCAAAGCCTGTCCACCATCTACAAGGCATAAGTCAGGAGTGTGATGGATTACTCCCCACTTGCCCCGGATGGGTGCTGCCCCAACAACACTCAAGAAGCTTGACACCATCCAGAACAAAGCAGTCCGCTTGATTGGCACTACATTCGCATACATCCACTCCCTCCACCACCGATTGTCAGTAGCGGCAGTGTGTACCATCTATAAGATACAATGCCACGACCTCATCCATCTAGAAGG